CCACTTTTCATAACCAAATATTTTTCTTGCTGGTCAGGAAGGATGAGAAAGGGAAGTCTGTTGCTATTTCTATTTTTAAATATTTCGAAGGTGACAGCGTTGATGGCTAGAAAGAAAGATGATCTTAAGAGAGAAAATTCCCAGTTATTTAAGGGAGCCGATTCCCTTCTTAACTTAAAACTCAGTATGGGTATTGAACCATCCAAAACAAGCCAGGTTCCAGGCAGCATACCAGCTGCAAAAAGGTAGAACCCAAGCTCATATTGCTCCTTTAAGTTTTACAGTATTAAAAATGGCAAGTTGTGGAGCCTGTGAAAAGTTTGGAGAACCACATCTTCAGCAAGATCGCATTCAAATCTTTAGCTCTCCTTTTTCTACCCAATAAAAAAATTCACACAACGGGAAAAAAACCTCTCCAGTGGAGGCTCTCTCCATCCTTAAGGCAGATAAAAACATACAGAAGATGAATCCATCCATGCACAGTACAGAGCCCACATGCCCCATCTAAAATTCGAGCTGTCAGCAGCAAGCTCTACTGCAGTGCTAGTGGGCACAGATATCCCTTGGACATCTTGAAAAATCCCAGTCATGTTAAATAGTCTTATTCCAAATGGGAACGCTGTGTCATGTGGGTTTCTTATTTCACTGTTCATAATCCTTCTATCCGTTAAATAGCATGGAGTGTTCTGTAAGAGCAGGTTACTTGAAGTTATCAGTAACAACAGGTATTTATCACCATGATTTTTTTTAACATTCAAGTGCATAAAATAGAATTCATGAGACAGACTAACTTTTGTGGGAGGCAACTTATGTGTTTCATAATAACAAACAATTCTGACCTAAACATTGCTTCTGCCCTTTAAATGCTGGCAATCTATTCTGTAAAAAATAGATACTCATTTACCATTTTTGTACTCCAAGTACTCTTGTTCAAGTCATTGCTCAGTATAATAGTTTTTCCTCTCCAGGTTGGTCACAAAGTACGTCACATACTCCACACCTTGCTTAAAAAGTCACCAGCTGCTATTTATAGATCTTTCTTAGGTTGAATTGTTTTACCCTCTTTACTTTCATGCAGGAGGCTGAGATAAACTCAGTGTTGTCCACCACCTCAAACCTAACTGTCCTCGTGCCTTCTCTCCAAGCAATTGAAAACATGGATGAAGATGAGAAAGTCTTTTGGATGTCAAAGAATAACATCCCAACTCTACTGAAGTACGTTAATGGTTTGGGGTTTTTTAATTAATTGTTTTTATGCCAAACAACCCTTTGGTTTGAAGCCACTAGATCAAGATATCTATTATAATTTTAAGGGAGGGACATAGGATTCCTCATCTAGTTATAGAGGTATAAATCTCTGTAGCAACTCCCCTGAAAACAAAGCCATTATTTGTATTATGTCAGAAATGTTTAAAGGCCAAGCTAAGCTCAGAATATATTTAAACCAGGTATTGTACAAACAATTCCTGCTTTAAACCACAGTTTTAGACACACTAAGCATATTTATCTGAAAAAAAAAAAAGTACAAAACCTTTAAATCCCGTTAATTTTCTTTAGGTATCATGTATTGACAGGAGCTTACAGCTTTGCTGATTTCCAGAATTTATCATCCTCTGAAATGCTGCCAACATCTCTACAGAGCAACTTCCTACACTTGTCTAAAGAAAATGGGGTGAGATGACCTGCAAACTACTATGGTATCATACACCAAACCCTGACCACCACTGCCACCGACTTTCTTTTATTAAAAAACCACACAGATATAATGTACCTGTATTTTAAAAAAGACCGTGTCATAAAATTAAAGGAATAGATGAATTACATTGGACTTTCTGGGAGAAACATTGACCTGATTTTCTTCACCACTTTACCTATCTGAAATTTGTCCACAATATTATTTATTCCTAATGTCCTAGTAGCTGCTAAAAATGCTGGACAGTCTAGTAGCAAGCGGAAGCGCAGTCCCTGCCTGGAGCAGCCTGTGTGAACTAATTTTAGAAAAAGAGCATCAAGGAAACCAAATAACTTATTTTAGGGAACTGGGAAGGTAGGAGGAAGCAGTGATACCACTCATATGTCCGCATGTGCAACTTGATAGTCCCAAACCACCCAAAGGTATTTTTAATGGTAAATAACTTCAACTGACAGCCCTTTCCCCTCAGCCTTTTTATTTAGTACTCCATATTCTGAGGGGGATTTTCTGGAAATACATATGGCACATTTAAACACTTCATCCCCATTAAGGGAAGGAAACGTTCCCCCCAACTCCATGCCCCGAGAGAAAAAAATTATGAACGGGGTCCTTCAAAGCTACACAGAAATGGGAGGGCGTGAATCGGCACAGGAGCTGATCCTGCCATGGGGTGTGGGTGGGTGCACGTACCCTGAGTTACCAACCCCCATGCAAGCAACCCCATGGCTTTGCCAGTCTGTGCCCCGGGAGCAGTAGAGTGCCATAGTCACCTCTACTGTGCACGGTTCCCTGAGGGCAGGTGCACACTGTTTTGGAAAGGTGTGGAAATCTACAACACAAACCGCCAGGAAAAGGCTGCCACCACGATGCAAAAGCAAATCCTTTTCTCCTTTCCCTCTTTCAGAATCTCACCCTTGAGGGCGCTCACATTGTGGCTGGTGACATCGCATCCACAAACGGGATCATACACGTTATTGATAAGGTATACATCCACATAGGGAGGATTTGTTCCTCTGCACAACAAGCAGTGGAAAATAATTAGCAGCTCTTGGAAAAAAGTATTTGTGCAGAACAGCATTTTCTCCCGCATGTGACCCTTGCAGGTGCAGCCACAGCATATGCACATGCGCTGATGGGGGAATATCTGCTCCCTTTTCAGGTTCTGACCCCACTCCGCAGCACTGTCATGCCAAGGCTGCTGGCCCGTCTGGAGCAAATGCCCGACTACTCCATTTTCAGGGGCTACATTATTGTAAGTTTTCACACTGTTTTAAGAATATAAATGGTTCTCTGCTTTGTTTGCATTTGCATTGGTATCAGACTATCAGCAGCCATTCTGATTTCTTTTTATGTGTTCCACAACAGCAATACAGCCTGGCAGATGAAATAGAAGCTGCAAACACATACACAGTCTTTGCCCCAAATAATGATGCCATAGAAAATTACCTAAGGGATAAAAAATCTGCTACTCTGGTACGTATTACTCACAGGACATGTCTTAGCTCAGTATCTCATCTCGGTTTCAAGAGAACGGATTGAAATAGGAAGAGAGATTTGTTTTCCAGAAATCCAGTAAGTTTGATTTTGTTTTTAATACCAGAGGAGGTATGGTCAGATGGATCCACCTATATTTTCCTGACTCCCTAGAAGACCCTAGATATCCATTCTGGGTTTTGTCCTTCTCCAGATTAACGGTAATGCTATCATGCTAATAACATCCAAGGCATTTCATCAGTGGACTTTTTTTTTTCCAAAGATCAGTACAGGAATGACCAGGAATAGCACTGAAATGAGTTTCCTAGGTGAACAAGCCTAGTCCCCTGTCACCATTGGCAACACCAACATTAATAATGCCATAAAATATTCTGTTTCTTGAGACTATCCAGATGTTTGCCCCCTTCACTCCTGCAGGGATGCTATCCCCCAGCTACTTTTTGCTTCTAATCCCAGTTTACAAGCACTCTTGGCCAGTCCCAGGGCTCTGAAAAATTTCCTTGGACAAACCCCATTGCTGCTGCCCTCTCCCAGGAGCCCCACACCAGGCTCATGCTTGACCTAGCCACCAGCTCCTCCCACTGGCATGGAGGTGTCCATCCTACCTCCCCTGCCAACCTTAGTCCCCAAGCCCAGAGCCAGTTTGTATTATTTTGACAGCCCACCTCTGGCCAATTTGTATCCCTTTATTCTTATGCCAGGAATACGCTTTAGCTGAAACAACTTCTGTCTCTCTCTGGCATTTGTGCCCGGACGTATTTACAAGGCCAAACAGCTTTATCAATCCTGTCAGTATCCTCCAAGATAAGCTGTTTCCTGTGTTACCCCAGCATCTTTCTTCGCATTTGCTCCAGTTTGAAACAGCTTTATCTAACATGTATATTGAGAGACACTCCTTGCAGAGGAAGCTTCACCAAAGACTTGCTCAATGACATTAATACTTCCCTGCCTCTTCCATAAATATTTACCCTGCTTTTTTTACTTTCATGGTCTCCATTTACAGCCAGGAAGCTGAGGAGCGCAGAGTTCAAACGACTCGTCCCAAAACATTTACCACCAACCAGCAGACCCACAGTAAAAGTTCCACTTGCTGCCTCACTGGAAGAATTCACGCATGACCAAGCTACATCCGCTCAAATGACTTTTGAGCACTATTTTAGTTAGTTTCATGACACAACATTGTCATTTCCACATGACTGTAAGAAGCATTTATAACGAACTTTGAGAGACACATAGGTAGCTTTAAGACATCAATCCCATTGGATTCAGGTTACACACACACAGAAATCCTTTCCATTTCTACTACTTATCAATATATTTCTTCTTTCTTCCATCCTCCCAACCTTGCCTGGTGTGTCAATCTGACAAAGCAAATCAGGCCTAAGCCTTTTCCTCTTCATGAAACACCTTGGGAGAGCTCTGTCTCAGAGGGAAAAGCATGGCACAGGGAAGAAACCCCATTTCTTGGCCTTGACGAAGCAAGGTTTTGTTCTCAGTCTGCTGGTGATTAAAGACAGAAATTAAGATGGGTGAGAGTTAACTTTTCCTCCAAAGCATCCAAGTCAGGAGGATTAAACAGGGTTGGACACTGGTGATTAGCTTTATCTTAATTCCCACCTGCAAATATTTCTTTGTCAAATCTGTGGAAATCAAAATGGAATGTGTCCCACCCTACAAGATGTAAAGACCATTACTTCACCCTGTGAGCAAAATGAGGCAACATCACAAATCTTGCAAACTGGGGTTGCTTCATGCTTTAACACACTTTTGAAGGAGCTGAAGAGCAGGGAGAAGTACAAACATTCAGAATAAGAAGACAGCAGGCAACAGGATTTCCCACAAACACCTTTTATTGCAAAGACATACAGCTGCAGCAGAACTCTATCTGGTGGCTGGGCAGCTCCTAAACCCTCCAAATGCCCCAGCTTGTCTCATATCTACAAATCTCTCACATCACATCCTACTTCTGCTTCCTCCTCTGATTTAGGCAGAGCTCTGGGAATCCCCTCCCTGGCAACAACATGCAGAAGCCTTTCGAAGCCCTCACAAAATTTTGATGTACAAAGACTTCACCACATCAGTGAGAGAGTGTATTAATTTTTCAGTGAGGCATAGGAAACTTTTCAATTACCAGGTGTGCCTCTAGTACTTTATTGACTGAAGATGACCTTAAAGATTAAAAAAAACCTAGAAATTATATAAATTATTGTAAACATTCATCTATAGGTTATTGAGGGCTTCCCAAAGGAAGAAGGAATGCTTATGGGTAAGACTCATGAATGTGCAACTTTTGATGTCAAATGAACTCATGAAGTTGAGAGTTCTAAAAAGTCATCTGACTAACTTTTCTCTGAATCTGTCAGCCAGCCCTATATCCAGAAAGATACATTATCAGGCAGAAGGAAACCTTGGTCCCACCACTTCAATAGCCTTCCATGGTCCCATGGTCAATAAAAGCTTCATTATGAAGAGCATAGACTATCCACAGAAAGAAATACGAAATAACCTGCCAGCTGGAGAAGCTTCTCCTTAAATTCAGGCAATTTATGTTTGGCTTATACCCTGTGGAAAAAACTATTGCAAAGAACTTTCTATGCTTTGTTACATAACTCTGAATTTAATCGTGTGTTTGCAGGATGAGGCCCAAATCCGCTATCACATTGTGCTGGATGAGAAGCTCCTGAGGAACAACCTGCACAATGGCATGCACAGAGAGACCATGCTGGGGTTCTCCTACCAGGTTGGGTTCTTCCTCCACAATGACCAGGTACTGCTGCCTGCCCTTGCTCCGAGAAACAGGTTTCCTGCTTTTTACAAATCTAGTTTCAAGTTTAAACTGACATGCAGTCAAAAAGAGCTGTACACCCACATTAGCTTCCGGGACTTAATAGCACAAAAGATGTCACTCAAATGCAATGTCTCTCTCAGACCTGTTTAATTCATAGTCACCCTTGAAGCATCTTTGATTGCATTTTATTTCAGTTATGCTGTTCCCATTTAGCATTGCATTTTAGAAGCTACTATAGTGGACCTGCATCTCTAGCAGCTACTAGCCTGCATCGCAAAGCAATCATTCATATGACTCCCAAAAGCTACTAGAAACCTGCCTTCAATAATAAAACATTTATTCTATTTTTTGTGGATTTACTCCACTTTCAATCCTACGAATGCAAAGCATTTTGCAACAAATATGAATTCAACACCATCCATGGGAAAATCAGGCACAGCAAGACTAAGCAACACACCCAATTCTGTGGCACAGCTGGGAAGAGAACTTGGTCCTCCTTCTTCTTTGTCCCAGAGCTCCCTCCAGGCATACGCAGAGGACAGAAAGCTTCTCACGAAAGCAGTTCCAGCCCTGCTGTTTGCTTTTCCCACAGCAGACCCTTCAAAGAAACACCTGCTCATGGGGCTGTTGCTGGTGAGGGCACAACGGGAATATGGGGTAGCAGTAAGATGCTGAAAGTCCTCCTTGAAGGAGTAGCTTCCCTGAAGCCCATCATCCCCCAGAGAGCAAACCCAGCTCTTGGCTTGCCTTAGGCTCCTTCTTCGAAACCTTTACATCCCGCAGTGGAAAAAGCTTCTCTGCCAAATCCTATTGCTAAGAAGCTTCAACAGGCTACATATCATCTCATGCCCTCCAGTCCAGTGAAGCTCTTAAACGCAGCAACTGGAATGTGTGCAAGCGCTTGATGTTAACTACATTCTTTGGTTTTCATGAAGTGTGGCTTGTACACATTGCTCCTCCCTTCACCTGCTCCTGCTCTAGTTAGCATACGGCTACCAACTCCCCTGCTGATTTCTAACTGATTGCATTTCTTTCACAGCTATTCATAAATGATGCACCTATAAACTATGCAAATGTTGCAACAGATAAAGGAATTATTCATGGATTGGGAAAAGTCCTGGAAATCCAGAAGAACAGATGTGATATTAACGATACTGTGATCACTGTAAGTGGTTCTGTTCATATAGATGTTTAAAGACCCATCAGGGAGATCTATAGCCAAACACAGCTAAAATGCACAGGGTACGTGACACTGTATTTCCCAGTAAGGAATGCATACATTTTCCACAAAGGATATTCCTACCAGAGTTTTAGCATCTATCAAGACTGCTTTGATGCTGTAATCGGTATACTGACAGCCTAGATTAAATATAGTTAGAATAGCACAGGAATAAACAATTTCTGAGCTGTAATTATCAGAAAATAATAGCAATGAAATATTCTAATACATCTTCTCAGCCAAACGACTTGTTTATAAAGCCAACAAGTGGAAATATGGAAAATATTTTTAGTAAGGAAAAATGTTTACTTTTATTCCAGGTAAGGATTACTGGTGCCCATACACATGAACCCCTCATGCCCTCTGAGTAAAGCATTCTCCCTGTTTTTTTACCTATGAAATACAAGTGGTTGTACATTCCTTTAAAGAATAGGATGTGTTTACTCAAACTGGCAGAGAAAAGTTCCCTTTCTCTTTTCTCCTGAATGAGTCAAATAGGACTACAAACATGCAACAAACTAGTCAAGGAAGACAAAGTGAGACTCATGCTTCAGTTAAAGCAAATTTAACAGGCATGAACTTTTGTAGCTTAATTCTTTTCTTTCGGGTACAGTCCCATATTTTAGTATATTTCACTGAAGGCTTTCCCCCAGCTTTGCTCAGTCAGGCCCTTTGCACATAGTCCTTTGTTTTCCCATGGAAAATTATTTTCCCTGATATGTTCAAATGCAGCAACACACTTAAACATTCATTTAAGCCTTTCTAAGAGAATATAGTAAGCTAAACAAGAATAATATTAAACAATGTGTGCTAGGTACACGTATCTCAGCATTTTCCAGAAACTGACCTTAAATGGGCAAATGATTCACACACACATATAGCATAGGACACACGTGGCACAAGGTTTCCATTTCCAAGCTCGCTTGCCCTTGTGCCACAGGCAAACTGTGTCCAAGTTCAAGATTTGCCTCCTATTGTGCTTTCAATGGGGAGGCCTTTGGGAAGCATTGCTTTAGAAAAGCAAAGAGAAATATTCAAAAGAACTCTCCTTTTCCTTCCCCCTGGGAGAAAGCTTCCCACGATGTGTCCCTACAGGCCAGCTGGTCAGGGTGTTCTTCCTTGCTAAGCAGCTACCGTCACCACCCTTACCAAAGGGGTTATCCTGATTATGCACCCTGAGGGCTAGGTTTATATATATAATTCAAAATTATGCATTTTCTATTAAACAACCTGTCTGCAGCTCTATACAGTCTGTTAACTGTCTCCCATTTGTGTTGCTTAAGGAAAAGTGCAGAATTTGTTCACAGCCGTCAAGTTGTCCCCCAGGAACAAAAGAAATAGTAAGTATTTTATCATTAATAATAATTAATTTTAATCAAAACTGAGTATAGATGCATTCAATCCTGGTTTTAATATAATTGCCTCAGTTTCATAAAAAGTTATCATAGTTACTTCAGCCTGCTACATACATTACTTACAGCCAACAGATTCAATCCATCCTGGAAGTAAGGGAGCACAATTTAGGTCAGCTTAAAGATAGTTTTATCCTGAAAGACTAGTTTCTAGTATGCATTGGGACAACTCAAGCCTCCTCTAACTGCAAAGGTTATCTCTAACATGCAAAACTGAGGGAGTTGAGCATGGTCTGCAGTATGCTTGCTACAGGAGGAATTACAGAAGCAGCTTTTAGCCCTTGAAATCAGAGATGTACAGAAGGGCAAACTCAACCTGGCCCCAGCAATATGCTGTAAGTTATGGTCACAAGGAGACTTAGAGACTAGAGAGACTTAGTGTGCCCAGGTCCAACACATGAGAAAAGCAGATATTTAGCAGGTCCCTGTCAACCATGATGAGATCATGAGTTCCTTGCCATTCAGATTTCCCTGGGAAAGCCCCTCTGTGGGAATTACATAAGCACGTTTTCCTTTATACTTTTTTATTGTGTAATTAATTATGCCAGTAATAGAATTCCAAAGCAGATCAAGTCTCATCCATCCCATTAAAGTAACTGGTGGGCAAAGCCAAACTGAAGTACACACAGCTAAAACCCAAAAACATTAACATTTCCTTGAGAATGAGCAGCTGGATGGATGCTTTTCTCAAACTCCTAACAAGCATACAATAAGACTGGCAAGTCGTCTTCTGTGAACAATCTTTCTCAACTGTGTCGAGGCCTGGAAGATAATGTTTCAACAGCTGTTTTTGCAGAACCTCGGCACTCAGTTTTCCAAGAAGAATTAGGAAGAACAGGAAATGTGTCAGAAAAAAATTCTGTTCAATTCTGAGCAAAGGCAATATTAGACACATCTTTAAAATGCCACAGGGCACCAAGTTAAATTGATCATATGTTCGCTAGCAAAAATCATTTAGCTAACGCATTTTTATTTCTAGAAGTATTTCCTTCATCTTCATTGTGAAAGTGTGAGTCAGTGCACAGCATGCATAAAGTTATGTCACATTTTTTAAAACATTTCAAACTAGCTGATCAATATCATTCAGAAGCGCAGCTGTTTCTCCAATTTTTGCACAGGCAGGGGAGAAGAAATACTGCGTCCTCTCAGAAAACAACATGAGACTGTACACCATCCAGATCGGGTGCCAGCCAAAGTGTGCCAAAACTGTCATTGTGAGTACACCATTTCTGTCACAGAAAAAGCCAGGAATCACCATACCTGACCTTCATCCTCCTCGTAATGCCCGCTAAACACATGCAGTACATCAAGGCAGTCCATGACCATATATTTATAGGCCTTTTATTCTGGATGCAGCAGAGATTAGAAGGTTAAACGCTGCTGATGGCTGCAGCATAGGAAGATCTGTCTGGGAGATGATATGGTGCAGAGGGAGCACAGGATCAGGAAGGGTATCCCCATGCTTGTCCCTCGCAATCCCGTCCACCTTTCCTTGGGGTGGTGGAGAGCATCTGGGTCCCACCAAGGACTTGGGGTGGCAGCCTGAGCCCAAGCACAATAAGGAGCATGGCCAGAGACCAGAAGAGCTAAGTGCTCCTAAAAATCCACATCTATAGTTCACCTCCACCCAGCAGCAGTCCCAAAGGATGATACTCAGTGGCCACATGCTTGCTGTCCTGATCCTGACTTTCAGCATGGCATTTCTTGGTTTCCAGACCAGGGAGTGCTGCGCAGGTTTCTTCGGGCAGCAGTGCCAGCCCTGCCCAGGGAAAGCAGGGAATGCCTGCTTTGGAAATGGTGTCTGCCTGGATGGCATCAACGGCACAGGCGCCTGCGAGTGTGAAGAGGGGTTCGTTGGTACAGCCTGCGAAAGCTGCGTCGAAGGCAAATATGGGCGCAACTGTGATCAAGGTACTGAGCATCCCCCAACCACACAGGCACCTTCACTAGTCTTGTCAGATATCAAAACCTTCCCCTTAGATCTTCTAACCATGTCCATTCCAGATCCTGGAAAGGCACATCGCTTCCAGGGTAATAGGCCAGTCTTAAAAACATCATTAACCCCTTTTCTTTCCCCATTATGGTATTTTTCTCTCTGCTCGCTTGTTTGGAGACAGTCCTTCCTACTCTGGCACACTACAGGCTTAGAACAGCATCCAACAAGAATAATTCTCTTTAGCACTGATTTTTCACCAATGCTTTCCCATTAAACTACAGTTTCAGTCCCTGTACTTCATAGAATCACATCACAGAATCATAGAACGGCCTGGGTTGAAAAGGACCTTAAAGATCATCTAGCTCCAATGCCCCTGCTGTGGGCAGGGTGGCCAACCACTAGAGCAGCCTGCCCAGGGCCCCATGCAGCCTGGTCTTGAACACCTCCAGGGATGGGGCATCCACAACTTCTCTGGGCAACCTGTTCCAGCACCTCACCACCCTCACAGTGAAAAATTTCCGCCTAATATCCAACCTAAATCTCGCCTCTCTTCATTTAAAAACATTCCCCCTCATCCTATCACTATCAACC